TTGTATCTCTTTGGTAATAAGCTGGTAAATATAAATATTTCTGAGTTATGTAAGCTACTCAAGCACATGAATCAAGCTTCAGGGGCTTGTGGGAACCTTGTTTTCTAGCTGGTTGGCCAGATATACAGTAAAACAACCCGGAGCTTGTAACTGGTATATAAAGGTGGGGGGCAGCCTTGGAGACTGAGCCTTTAACCTGTAAGATCTGATACCACTGGCAGGTAGACAGTGTCCAACTGGCTGGACTAGAGGATAAGCAGCTGATGTCCACTGTTGCAGAATCGCTTGCCTAGGGGTGGGGAGAAATCTCCACACCTCTTTTAGGTTCCCAGAAGTCTTGTGTGTTGATTATGGTATGAGAGCAGGAGCGAAATAAACACTGTTTTCTCCTGGAGACCCAAGGAAGAGGCAGTAACTCTTCTGAGCACAGAAAGTCAGCATCAGCTCCTCAGCCCACAGCTTTCTCAACTCCTCCCTGCTGGTGGGGTAGCACCTTGTCCTTGCCTCTCCCTTTGTCTCCTTCCTCTGAACCTGTCCCTCCACTGTAAGTGGTATTTTTTTCTTTTATATGTTTTTAATTGTGCTGGGTAGGGGTGGGTAGGGGTACATTGTAGCATTTACAAAGGTTCTTATAATGTATCAAATATATCATAATTGAATTAACCTGCTCCACTGCTCTTTTTCATCCCCCCCTTCCCTGATTCCTGGAACAGTTTCAACAGGTATCATTTTTGCATTTACATACATGTGTATACATTATTCCCACCATATTCATCCTCCTACCTCTTTCCCCACCACCTCCCCCATCCCACCGGTGTTAACCCCTCCACCCTAGGCAGAACCTATTTTGCCCTCATGTTCTCTGATTTTTATAAGAAAAAACATAAAAGATATAAAGAGAAACAAGGCGTTTTTGCTGGTTTGAGATAGAGATAGCTACACAGGGAGTTTCCTTGTGTTGTTTCCATGTATATATATATTACAACCCCAACTGGTTCATCTCTATCAGTCCTCTTCACTCCTCCCTAGTCCACTTTCCGTATGGCCCTGGCCAGTTTAAGAGTTCTACATTATTTTAAAAACTCCTTAGTGAATGTGATTATCCAGTGCCTAGGTGCTTCATTTGTAGTTTAATTAGCATGGAGGGGTGGGAGGACCTAGCTATCCTTCAAGCTCCCACCTTAACCCATGAATGACTCAGGTTGGGGAGATGAAATTTCCTAGTGGATATGAGCTCATATTGGGCCAGGACTGGGCAAGGGAGCCATTAGCTAGGCTCTCCTGCAGTGGATCTAGCACTGCAGGCCTTAACAGAGGTGTGGGAAGGAGCTGAGTGTCTACAGATCACCATCAGTTTTATGACCATGGACTCAACATAGCTGCACAGCTCACTGTACCATTCTCCTCTGAGATCAGTAAGAGCCCATTCCAGCTCTCTGACACTTCCTTGGAGTACATACACATCCCTGTTGAGTGTACTGACAAAGTTCAAGGACAAGTTGGACACTTGGGTCCAACTTCTAGGGTCTCTCAGAGGTCAAGGGAATCCTTGCCTTTCCCACTAGATTAAAAACAAAATAAAGGGTGGACATGGTGGCTCAAGCCTGTAATTTTAGCTACTCAGGAGGCAGAGATCAGGAGGACCATAGTTCAAAGCCAATCTGGGCAAAAAGTTCATGAGAACCCCCATCTCATCCAATGGTTAGGTGCAATGGCACATGCCTGTCATGCTAGCTACATGGAGAAGCATAAATAGGAGTATCATAGTCCAGGGCAGCCTAGGCATAGAGTGAGATGCTACCTCAAAAATAACCAACACAAAAAGGGCTGGTGGTATGGCTTAAGTGATAGAGACCATGCCTAACAAGTGCAAAGCCCTCAATTTTATTGAAAAATGAAATAAAAATAAGGAAGGAAAAGACCAAACAGAACTACAAAATTTGTCACTGTCAATGTTTATATGGGATAAATGAAAACTCTTAGTACTACAGAAATACAGTGACTGTATATGTCCTGGTGCCAAAGATTAACAGGATTCATTAAAAATATTCTTAAGTTTACTATAAATTGTTTAGACTTGTAAGAGGGCACACTTTAAAGCTGTAAGATTCTTTATTAAAAGGTCAATATGACTGTTGAATAAGTGGACTGTGGATATAATGTCACTTAAAAACAATGGCAAGAAGCTAGACATGAGTTCCTTCCAGAGTTTGAGCTCACAGCTCATGGACTCTCCTGACACTGCTTTTCCGCCCTGTTCACAGGACTAGGACTGTGTAGATGCTCTCTAGCCTGACATTTTACAAAGCATAGCTCTCTTTTTTTACCTGGGTACTGCTGGTGCCCAACCAGGCTTTAATTATTTCCTGATGGGACAGATTTGCAACATGAACCAGCCCTCCCAGCCCCAGGCCCCAAACAGCCTCTCTCAGACTGGGTTGGGTCCCTACATACCTGTCCTGCTTGACCTGCTAGGCCAGCTGGAGCCCCCAAGGCCATGGTAGAGGATCGTGCCTTTCCTCAACAGTTCCAGATATGCTGCTTCTATCTGAAAAATTATTTACTGTAGTGATGTGTGATGCCTTTTTAAGAGAACAGATGGCACCTCCAATTAGAATGCTTTAAAAGGAAACCCTAATGAGAATATAAAAGCCAACAAATTGACTTTTTCATACAGTACTTCCTTGGCACACAATAAATCAAATATATAATGAGACTCAATAAAATAATAGCTTTATTTATACTTGTTTTGCCTAGCATTGTGCTGCATCCCAGCCCTGCCCTCTGGGTTCCCTCTCCAAGTGTTCGTCCCTATAGGTTGAGGCGTGGAGCAAAACAATACATCCAGGGGCTGCTCTTGGGCCTGCATACCACGTCCATGTTTTTGCTTTGATTTAGAAATATCTGGTCTTGCTCTATGTATGTCCTGGGGTATAAGACACAGGGCTACATAAAGGTATGACAGGTGTGATAACACACACAGGTAAGTGCAGCTCTGTCCCACTCTGGGTGAGGTGGGGGTGGAGTACAATGGAATCACAGAGGTGAGGAAGGTGTGCAGTGGCAAGAGGGAAATGCCTGTGAGGTCTAATTTAAAGCAGGTGACCGCAGTTACAGTGGTCAGACTGGAGATTTTGGGATATTCTTGTTTTTTCCAGGACCGGTCCTGTAGATTCAAGTATATCAGATAAGATGGCTGGAAGATAAGCCTTGAATAGTAAGTGAGAGAGAGGCCATAGCAAGAAAGACTGTGTCACATCAGCATTCTGAACATTTGGTCATTGGCTTTCCTTCCTTTTGTTGGACTTATCCAGAGACTAGGTGAATTTACAGGGTATATCTCTGAAGAACAAAGCTGGGAGGTCAGACTTCTATTAGTAATAGTTCATCTGTAAAGGGAGCCAGACAAAGGGATTCATGAGCAGAAGTGGAACAGCATGTTTCCAGGAAGCTGAGACCCTGGACATATGCTTTGGACATCATTTGGTCCTCGGTCTGTACATTCAGGTAGCAATGATTCAGCATTCATAAGTAGATATTAAAAATGATTCTTCCCTTTCAAGTGTGTCAAAAGATTTAATTGAAAATATGTACTAAAGAAATACATTAAACAATGTCTTTCAGGCTCATGGGAGACATCAGTGGAGAAACCACTGCCATAGAAATACAGGGTCTCTACTCAGCAGAAATGGAATCATTTCTGTTAATCTTCACTCACCCAAGAGGAGGAGGTCTGGGGAAAATCAGCTTACAAGAGAATGAGCTTTTCCTCTGCTGAGATCTATAAGCATTGATCAGGCTCAGGACCTTGATCTAGAAGATACTTTCATTCCTTCTCTGTATCCAGCAAAGGTTAGATATACTGCAAGGCCAGAATTGAGAAATTCTTCTACTCAGAGTCTAGTTTTATTTTTTTCTGTCCATCAAACTGCAAGTATGTATGAAACACCCTTCTGTGGGGGTACATAAGAGAGAATTGATTCAAGAAGGTGTATGGGAAGGTTGTTACTCATAGTGAGCCTGGCCAGATAATCCAATGCAGGAGAAAGTTCTACCATGATTAGAGGCTAACCTGAAGTATTAATTCCAGAATACAACAGGAATATCAAAAAAAGATATCATTCCTACTTCAGGGCCACAACCGTAGGGGAAGAAGAAAAAGTTCTCTAAAGTGCCGAGCTGGAGAGCAGTGCTTCCTGCTTGGCATTATTATGGGAGAGAAGAATGGGAGGAAATTATTCTCCCCCTAATCCCTATCCAGAGAGTAGCGACATCTCTTCGATTTTGGCAGAATGACTGCCCTTCCTTCTACAGCAGATAATGGGAGAATGGAGGTAACTGATTCATTAACCCTAGTCCTTGGAATTTATGCCATAGAGATGCACTCTGTAGTCAGGCACCTGGTCTCACAATTTGGCAGAAGTACAGATGACAGGCACTGGAAGGGACACAGGGAGATAAATATATGATCCTGGCACACAAGGACTTTCATTTGGTAGCTGAGATAAGATAATTGCAGAATAACTGGACAATTAATAAAATTACGAGAGTTCCAAGAGAATCCTCATTGCAGACATGCAAAATCCCAATGAATAAAAGGAGATTTTTCAACCATAGAGACCAGAGGTCTTCTCACAGGAGGCAACCAAAATAGTTAACTAGGAATTGTTGCAATGGCCTAGTGGACCTTTATTTCACACTGAAAAATCTCCAGTCTGGCATTTTTACTGTCTGATGAGTAGAAGTTGTACTTATGGGTTGGAAGGAAGACCTTTCCTCCTGGAAGGAGGGGGCAAGAAGAACATGATCTTGACTTTATGATTTCAGCAGAGGGAAGGGTCCTGCATTCTGCAGCATAAGAGTGGTCATTTCAGCACCATGGCTAGTGCTTCTGCTTTGCACTGCAAGGGAGGGATGGCTTCAATTTCCTGCTCCAGGCCTACCACGTGCACTGTCAAGGAACCAAACTCCCCAGCCCAAAGCCCACACTAGATACTTACTAGTGCATGCCACTTCTGGGGGATCAAAGTCTGCTCGATAATAACCAGTCCGGCATGTGCAGATGGGAGATGCCTCTGAAGGGGAACGGCTGTTGGAAGGGCAGTGGGAGCAGCCCTCAGCTTCCTGGCTGGCCTTGAACGTCCCTGCAGGACAAGCTGGAACACAAAGAGATCATGTGAGAATTAACGGAAGAGTGTCAACCAAAGATCCTTCCCTAGAACTGAAAAATGAAAGATTCTGCAATCCTAACAAGAATACTGAGTTTCCCTCCTTGAATCTAGTGCACAAAGTGAGCATCTCAGGTTGAAGCAACCCCTATTTAACACTTTCCTTTCTTCAAGCAACCTTAGTGAAATATACCTTCTTGGTACCAACAGCTTCTCTTACTTGAATAATATGAAAAATGATTCTTCACTCTCAGGTGTGTCAAAAGATTTAATTGAGAAAATGAATCTCACGTGTGGCTCACTGCATGAGACATAAGTGCTCTATAAATGGTTGTTCCCTCTCCCTTCCACCTCACTAACAACCAGGGCCTTGCCCTGAGCAATTCACTGAATCTAGCCTTATAGCCTCAGATGGACAGGGGTCCTGGTTGACAACGGACCAATCCCCTGGTTCTTAAATGCCATGTTGCAATACACATGAGGGACACTGTGAGATGTTAACAAGCACTTGTTATGAATGATGGCAAAAGACTGAGATTCATGAGTGATTCTTTAAAAGGAAATTAAAGTGATTTCAAGGTTACTGCCTTAACAACATCATTCTCCCTTAATTGCATTTTAATATGCTCTCAGGGGTGGGGTAAGAAAAGAATGTGGCACCAGAGAATGTGCTGTGCACTTGGTGTCATCTATCACATACATGGTAATAGGACAGGTTGGGAACGGCTGGAAAGCTCAATGCCCAGTGAAGGAGTGCTCTCATTTGAGGGCTCCCTGTGGAGTCAGCCTCTATGGAGTCAGGCCCTGCAACACCCGCCTCCAGACTGTCTTCAAGGCTTGGACCATGTGTCATCTACAGAGACCCCCAAGTGTAGACATCAGGTCTCTTCCTTGTTGTTCCATCAATCCTGCCTTCCCAATTGTCCTTCCTCACCACCTTTGCCCCTGTCTCTTATTGTCCCCATGAAGCCTGCTCTGGTTGGTTGAAATTACTGCCTGATCAAATTGTTTGGCTTTCATGCACACCTCACCAATTCTTCAACAAACACTTAACTCTACAGCTACTGAGAACCTGATACAGGGAGCACAGCCTGCCTTCAAGGAGCTCTTAATCCAGTGTCATCACACTATTATAATATGATGTGATCATTGCCTGAACAGAAGTACCAGTAGAATAGCTTAAACTTATATGAAACTCATCTTCCCAAATATATTGTTCCCTCCTGGAAAGTGCAGAGTATTCTTTAATAATAGCAATAACCACCATCTGTTAACTTGTCTTGTTAAGTGCTCTACATGCATTAGTCTATGGGGTAGGTATTATTATCTCCATTTTGCTAATGAGGAAATTGGGACTCAGAGAGGTTAAAAGGTTACCCAGTATCACACAGTGGGGGAAATAATAGTGATGATATACATATAAGCTATTTGAAAAACGTCTACCACTTTCCTGCCAACACAAGAAGGAAAACATTTTCCTATGCTGTGAAAGTTTTCTCACTCTGCTGCTCACTTAAAGTGAGGCAATGGTTTCAGTTACTCCGGATGTGCCACTGTGGGTGGGGACGGAACGTGCCCTGTGAAATGGGATGTTTTGGAATGATGAAACCCAACTGTGGTCCACGCAATATGAGTTCTTTGAGTTACTACTCACAAAAGGGTTCTGTGGTCAGATATTTTGAAAATGTGGTCCTAAAATATTAATTTCGATTACCGAATTGCCCAGAAATTTAACAAATAAGATGTAGAATACTATGCTTTTTCACTAACAAGCCCTAGTTTGTAGAGCATCCCCTGGAACCCACATTCCATGAGACACTCTGGATTCAAAGTTGTTTCCCAATTGTTGGACAACAGTAATTTCTGTTATAAAAATTGGTCACTTGATAACACACCTCAGCACTTTCAAGGAAAATTTTCTGTTGGAAGAAGAATGGGTTTGAATCTTTACCAAAGAATCAATACATAAAACATCAAAGCAGAAAACACTGAGTGGCATACTTAAAGTATCCTAAATTCGGTTTACTAATCTATAATTCTAAGTCTACTCAGTAGACTCTCCCTCTCTTTCTCTCCTCTTTCCCTTCCTTCTTTCCACATCTCATTCTCTCATCTCCTGAAGAAGTGCTTGGCCCTTTCCATTTTCAGACTCTGCCATTGCTTGCCCCCTAGGTTCTGGACACAAAGAACACAGACAAAAACCTGCACCCGAGCTGCTTAGATGCAGGAGGACTCTCTCCTGGAAAATGGGGAGGTGATGTGGTGACTACTCATGCATTCGTATTCAGTCTCTGTCACACTGTAATTTTCTTAATGTATCAGTCCAAGAACATGATGTTTTCAGATTCTTTCTAACACTTAAAAGCTTCTTCACTCCACGTTTAATAAGTTAACAGCATAAACAATCACATCCACAAGTGGCAGAGGGATTTGGAAAGTGCTGCCTTCTGAGATTTTTTATGGAGTTTTAAGTAGCTTGGTCTCTGAATTTCAAGGAGGCCACAAGGGAAGAAAGCGGAAAGGAGTAGTTCCAAGCTGACATTTAGGGAGAGAGACTCAGAGATGGGTGGAGGAAAGAGGTCTCATAAGGGGGCTTGACTCCATCCTCCCACAAAGAAATGAGCACTGGGTGGTGGTCACACAGTCCTGAATCTGTGTCCTGGCTCTACTGGAAACACCAGCAAGTCATGCAACCATTCAGAGCCTCAATTTGTTCATCTGTGTAAAAGATCTATACCTCTCATGACTGCCACAGGCACTAACATTTTACATGAATCCACTTATGAGAAGAAGCACTAATGCTAGTGCTTAGCACCTATCTATGGTTTCAAAAATAATTAATTATTGTATTTGTCTAACCATCTTCATCTCAGGAATTTTGAGGTAGATAACATAGTTCTTTGCTTTAATATTTCAAAACTCAGGGATTGCCTTTATTAATTAAGATTTATGGTTGGCATTATTACAAAAGTTACCAAACCCCTCACAAAACAAATACCTACTGAGTATCTACCAGAAGCCAGGCACCATGCTATACTAATATAGCTATTAGCCCTATGCTAATTCCTCTTCCTTGCAACATACCCACTGCCTTTTGAAAGTCAAGTTTTCTTTGCTGGGACTTTCAGAGTCCAGGGTCAGAATATAAGTTTGAGTTTCAAAGTAGGCAAATAAGTCCTTAAACTAAACGAAAAAATGTGTCTCTGCATAGGTTATTTCAGTTTGAATAATGGGTAGAACACTTTATCTATAAAACATATTGCACCTATAATTGAAAAATGGTTAAATCTACTTAATATTCAGACTTAATATGTTAATATCTTAATAAAATCTGTGTCTAGGATTTCCCTGATTTACAAAGAAGCAGTCTTTCTAAATTCACTTATTAAACTTTTAGATTGTAACTTTGTAACCACACTTGTACTATATTTTCTCATACAATTAATGCAACGAATGCTAACAGTTAAAATGGAAGGCTAGAAGTTCACAAAGCCTTTTTTAAACTCACCTTGTATCATAAAATAACAATGCTGTTATTTTACTAAGAAAAATAAATAAGAAAACTATGCTTCCCCTTGAGAAAAAACAACTTTAATTAGAGGTGATACATGGAGCTTTTGGGTCAATTTTAGCAAAGAATATACATAAGCCAAAAGAAGCAAATACAAATGCCTTCAAGGCCAGGTATGGAGTTTGTGAAACAGCTGGGCAAACACAGTAGGGAATGGTGGAGAATCTGGCAGCTAGAGACGGCATATCTATCTATGGTTTCAAAAAATATTATTAAGTTCTGTCTACCTAACTAAATACATTACAGCAATTTTGAGGTGGATAGCACAGATCTTGGTTTTAATATTTCAAAACTCACAGGTTGCCTTTCTTGATACAGAATTACGGTTATCATTATTACTAAAGCCACCAGCCTCTCATTCAACAACTTTTTTTCTGAGGATCTACCACAAGCCAGGCACCAGGTTAGAGGAATGGAGCAGTGTGGAGACAGGGGCACAGGCTTTAGGGAGCTCCCTTCCTAGTGGCAGACAATGGACTGCTGCTTCTGATACAGCACCATCTGTGAGCTGTGCTTGTGGGTGCCTGGGGAACAGCCATCTAGGATGGACATCACTTGGGCATTTGTCTTTATAAGATGATGGTCACACAAACATCACGTTAGGAGACAAGATTCAGAAGGAGAAAGACAAAGCAAGAAGGAAAAAGGTAGAAGAACTAGAGAGGTAGGAAAGGAAATTAAGTTAGAAGGCACCAAACCTAGGATCTCATCAGGGAAGTGGATGGCCAGAGAAGTCACACGCACCTTGGTGCACATTCCTGGAAGACCTTTGTCACTGGGAAACCTATAAGGTAAGGCTGTATTCCTTTCACAGGTAAAGCCCACAATTGTTTCATTTCTTTAAGAAAAGAGTGTTTACTTCCCTCCAATGCAAGTGATCACAATTCAGACAGAAGACCTAGGTAAGTTGACAGAGACCAGGTTACTGAGTGTCACACACCCTGCACCTAGTCCGCCCTCTCTTGACTTTGGCAGAGAGAAGAGATGAGACCTGCATACCCCATCCCTAAGTGTGTGTACAGGCAAAACACATATTTCCCTCCCCCTTGAAGAAATAAGAGGCTGGTACACGTCACCTCTAGCTGGAATCCAGGTCACCTTGAAACATCCCCCCACCAACTTCTCCAAGCCTCAGAGATGTAACAAATTACCTGCTGCTTACAATGCTCTTAAGAATGCCCCTCCCCTCCCATCCCTGCATGAAGACTTCCAGTGACACTGAATCCATCACCTACAGGACTATTACTTTATAAAGAAACAGATTAAGTGTCTCATAAACAGTGCAGTGATTGAGATAATGGAAAGCGCCTCTCGTCCCCATCTGCGGCGTCAGGTTATGAAGCATTTCCAAGCAGCCAGGAAGAGGAAATTAATAGAAGCAAGAGGGAATAACCACTTTTATGCAATTTCCTCAGGAG